CCTACACATAACGTTTTACCTGTCAGTCTTACCTCTTCAGTCTGAAACGTATCAAAAGTAGAACCTTGTGTTTAGAACAAAAAACAGTCCAGAAAAAACTGATGGGATGATTCAGTTTTACAACATAAATCAGGGTTGGAAAAAATCATTATTTTTTCTCGAATTTTTTTGACCAAACACAACATAATTTTCTGACAACGACAACGATTATAGATTCTCGGGAATGGAGATATAGTCTCTATACCAGAAAAACCTAGTTCTGCACTAGACTTTGCGAATGATATGTATTGGAACAGTGATTTTTTGTCACTTACACATAAATTTTACTGTATCGCCTTTAGCAACAATTATTTTTCAATTTATTATTTGTTATATCTGTTATAGAAATATTTTTTATAGTTTTCTAGGACACATTTTTATAACTTTTACAGTTATTTTTTTATTTATTATAAAGTTTTAGTAAATTTTTTTTTAAATTTAAATCACATGATTAAAATTTAAAAAAATCACTTGATTTAAATCATTTGATTTAAATCATTTGATTTAAATCATGTCAACCCTTACAAAAATACCGTTTTGCCTACACTGAAAAAAGATAATGTAATTTTACAAAATTGTTTAGAGATATTGAATGATTATTATAAAATTATACTATTTTCACAATTAGTTTTACATGTTTACACATTTTAATCCTTCTTACCTGACAGGTAAAACGTTGTGTGTAAACGAAGCTTTACAGTTTAACAATGTTTTATCAATGGGATCTATGTCTTACGAAATTCCTGCAAAAGAAGGTTAAAGTTAATATAGCGTGCTAATATAGATATTATAAATATTTGCCTTGTTTTTTTTTCTAATATTTATTTAATTTGTTCATTAGTGAGGAAAATGGCGTTTTTGGTGCTAACGTTAGATATTTGAGAGCCCTTGAGATGGCTTTTAAGACAATTAGGTGTAAAGTGTTTGATATGTGTGCGGAGGCTATTTAAATTACATTAATTTGCAGGAATGCTTGAAAATCGACTAATGTTAGAGTCATTAGAGGGGTATCGGTAATTCAAACTCCAATCGCCATCAACGGTCGTAACTTAAACCATTAATAAATTTACATATTCCAGCGTCTGTATTTTTTCATAGATCAGAGAGTCTAGTGTTACTTATCTGTTATACATAAGTTAGCACGAAATTTTTTTGAAGTTTGATATTGCGGCGGGAAACTCAGATATAATGTACAGGGTGTCAAGTTTTCGTATGTTTTACAGGAGCGAAGATGCGGATTTCACATTACTGCTTGCATCCCGGGTTGAGTTGGACCCTAGATCATATATACTTACGTGGATAAGTAAATCACTATGGAAACTGTCGCAAACATATCAACGACTTTATATCAACGACCATTTATCTTCTTTTTTTTGTTGCACACGCGGTGCTTCTACTCTATCTATCCTTGTCGAGGACCTATCGTCGACGCGCCAAATTTGAACATTAATTTTAAAAATTTAATTTGTGAAATGCATATATTTGAACAATAAATTGAATGTTTACCTTGCAACCGGGTTGAGAATGCCGGTTTACTTCCTGCAGGAGTGTCCTGTTCCATTTCCACGTTCGTTTTTCTGGATATTGTGACCAGCCCCACGTTGGGCGCCAAGATGTAACGTAAGGTTTTGAAGACTGGTCAATAAAACAACTACTGCAGGAAATATTATCTTTTTTATTTTCCAGGCTGATGGTTGTAAGTGTGGTTTAGGAAAAGTTCTACAAAGTTCTAAAATAAATTATAATTAATAGGTAACTGAGTTAAGGGTTTTAAATCAATTTCTTACCTAACACCAGGTTTATACCCCAAAATAATAAGAATATAATATATTGGGTAATAAGTCGAAAACCAAAGGCTGTTAACACTTGTAGCGGTATAAATAAAATGGCAAACACCCGAATTCCATTACTGTAAAAAAGCGAAATTTATAAATTGAACTACCAGGGCCATCTATATACCGTATGATCGAGAAAAAACGGCGTCAACGATGGCTATGAAATGAAGATCGCTGTCATTTTATATGTAAATTTATATGGGAAATGTCATTGATCGTCATTTCTCAGCCAACTGGACGCCATTTTTTTTTCGATCATACGGTATTTGTTTATAAGAGACCTAATGTTAACATACATAAACCTGTTTTAATATTATATTAAATTAATATATTCCATTTAACCGATTCTGTATCTCTTACGGTTTCCGAAATCCCATTATTTTGGAAATACGTGCAACTTTTCATGCGCATGCGTAAAGTAAGGTCCTCGGAAACGACAAGCCTATTGAACGTTTCATAAGTGCAATAAAGAAAGTTTGAAAATGGCATGTGGTGATGTTGGAGACATATTTTTTTAATGCTAAACTTATGGCGTTGATTTATCCACGTAAGTATATATGATCTAGGGTTTAAACACAGGAATTTAAAGAATTCATTTTTTTCCGAATTCTCAGCTATCCACTTGGTTTTCAAGGCGGCCCATTAATCCTTCTGTTTAAACTAGACCCAGTCGACACTCCCCATGGCCTACTTATTCCATCCATATCCTGTAGAATCTCGAAATCCGCCTGCCCGTTTGCCCCTTACGCAACTCTCATCTATACGGCTGCCGGCGTCTCGGTCTGATTGTTTCCACAATATACACAAAGGTCGTACTCGTACCGCTAATTATTTCGCTGACCGGTGGTCGCTCTAGGACATAATAGCCGCCGTGTTGCGAGCGTACGTGTGCACACTTGCGAACCGCCTTCGTTAAGTAATTAGGCAGAAGTACTTTCGTTTTATTCACTGGTTAAATATTTTAATCATTTGTTGGGGGATCGGACCATCGCTTAAAGCTCCGTCTACACATAACGGTTTTTTGTCAGTTTTGGCTGTTCGATCAGAACGTATCAAGTGTGTGTAGACGAAAAACAGGTCCGTTTTACCACAGATTAGGTATCCTATAAGTATACAGATAAAAATCTTGTCCCTAATTCGTGGTACGAAAATTGTTTTTTATGACGATGTGCAAACGAGTCAAATTTCCTGTGCGCAAAAATAAACTCGCGTAAAATAACAATAAACAGCGTAATAAAGAGATATCGCTAAACTGAATAGCGTGTATGGACGTTAATAAGGCCAGGTGTTATTTCCTTTACGTGAGGTGGTATTAACTGATGCTTCCAAAACCAAACCAGGAACAGGGATAGGAGTATTTACTGGAACCTGAAAACTGGACTACCCAGAACCTGGAAAATAAAGTCCTCCTACTCTGTATACCCGCTCACCGAGGTATAGAAGGCAATGAAAAAGCAAACGATCTAGCCAGAAAAGGAGCGTAAGAAAGCTCCACTAACTGGACTAGAACCGTCCTGTTTTCCAAACGGAAACCAACTTAAAGCGGAACTCAAGAACCTGGAAGACTCCATTCGTAACCTGGAATGGGAATCCTCCAACGGTCTAAGACACTCGAAGAAGTCTCTTAGAACTTCAGAAGAGAAAAATCAAAGGTTTTCCTTGATTTAAGTAAGAACTGTCTTCATAGCAAAGGCGAATGCAGATTCTGTGGTGAAAATGGGGAAACATTTATCACTGAGTGCGCCGATACGGCTGAAGTCGGGGATGGAGAGCTGGCCTCTGTGGATCCGTCTCAGATACTGGCTTTTGTCAGAGCCCTGATTCTGTATGACGAGTTATAACTCGTTATAACTAAAAAATACCACAGATAAACATCCAAATAAAACAGGAAGAAACTTAATTTCTCTGCATTGACTGTTGTTGTCTGTCGAAATCTTTCCCTGGTTGAGTTGGACAGGCTTTACTTCTACTATGAGGGATTCGAGTAGTAACAAGAGAGAATAAAAAATATCGGATCAGTTTTCACGACTTCCACATCCTTTTTCAATGTTACAAGAGAAACAAAACCAAATCTGAGAATTGCCATACACCAAAATCTTTTCTATATCGATTTTTCAAATAGAATAATTTTTCAATTAAAAAATATTTTTATATTTAATTTGCTGAATATAAATTAAATAATAACTCATCGGATATGAATGGTTATTATATAGTAATTATATAATCGACGTTGGTCTGAAGGAGTGTCTTATTATGCCGCCAGGAGACAATAGAGGCAACACCTTGCGTAACATCGACTGATGTTCACCCTTGACCCGTACACGAGAAATCTCATCGCAGCAATGTAATTTAATCGTTATTAACTGTATTATAGCGTACCATGTCTTCCGGAATTATTTTGCACAAATTTCTACGATGTTTTCTACGATATATTCATTCACCAATACAGGAACAAACAACTTTAAAATCGAAAAATTCTATAATTTTTTCCATAGCAACTGTTAAAATTGCCTTACATCTATCAAAAATTGTAGATAAAAAGTACTTTAACCGCAAGAGTAGATTAAATGATACTTTAACAACGAGGATAGGTTAATAACTTTATTTCTTCTCGCACGTTTTTTAATTGCTTCCATTTTTGAAAAGTTTTGTATTCCTTTTCATAAGTTATTCATTAACCATTACATTTGGATATGGCGTTTGTCGCCTCAGCCTGAATATCTGTTGGTAAATTACTTATTTCGTTTTGAGCCATTTCTGGCTCCAATTCAATCAGCAATTGACACGAAAGGGAATTAAAAAATATTGACTCAAAACTGACAACTAAAGAGACAGCTTTATTTATTTGTCAAATTACATAGAAACCAACGCCAACCCAGCACAATATTTTTTCTTCTCGTAATAAATTCCTTGAAATAATAATTTCTGAATATTTTTTAAAACCGCTTTAACTCGCTATGGAAAGAATATTGTTTTATACACGACGATAAAATTGCATTATCGTAATACCATTTTATCGTCTTGTATAAAAAATAACTATTATCTCTTTTATTGTTTTTTATCATTATGTTTAAGGATCAGATATATATTATCAGAGATTAACTGTGTCCCTTTTTCAATTTCCAGCTCCGAGTGCCCCTAGAAATCAACTTTAGAGCGAAACAAAAAGATCTGGTAGTCAATCTTGCCAAGAAACACTTGACGTGCGGCGTCAAGGGTCAGCCACCAATCATAGACGACGACTTACAACACGAGATCAAGCTGGAAGAGTCCACGTGGGTCATCGAGGATGGAAAGGTTTTATTATTTAATTTAGAAAAGGTAAGATTTGAATTTTGCCGGTGCCCGGTGGCGTAGAGGTACAGCTCTCATCTACCAAAAATCTACCAATCTAAAGGTTGTGGGTTCGATTCCTACAGCCGGCAGTTCATCAGCCGACTATTTTTAATAAAATAAAAATAGTTTGGGTACCTATATAGGTTGACTCAGATGAGTACTTGGGATTCACAATCCTGAGGTAATAAACAGGCAGTTGAAACGTATAGTACTAGCCGCATTACCTTCCTTGTGTACCGAACGGCTCTAGCATGGCAAGCTGTACCTTGCTACTCCCAAGGCGTTAAACGCTATATGCGGAAATGAGGTATTCTGAAATGTGTATTTTTCTCTACTTTTTTTCCTGAAATTCTCTCTAATTTTCCGGTAAAGCTTGCTGCTATACCTGTAGATTTTTGAATTTAAATAACCGTAATGGTAACTGATATACATTGTTCTAATACCACAAGAGACCTTTATTCAACTTGGCAATGACACTAGCAAAAAATAGCCTTGGTCGAGGACCAAGGGCAACTATAACTGTAATTCATTCCATCAGAAATGGTGTTCCTGTAATGTATCCATTGTGCAGCTAAATTTTTATCCTATTTTTTAAGGTAAACAAAATGAATTGGTGGGGAAAACTGGTACAGTCCGATCCAGAAATTAGCACGAAGAAAATCAATCCTGAACCTTCGAAACTGAGCGATTTGGATGGTGAAACCCGGGGTATGGTAGAGAAAATGATGTACGATCAGCGACAGAAAGAGATGGGACTACCCACTAGCGATGAGCAAAAGAAACAAGATGTACTTAAGAAGTAAGTAAACTATAAAAATAATCCTTTATGAGTATTTCGCCACTGCACTGCAAGAAAATCTACAAAATGAAATAATTATTTTTTGTAAACACTTCTGCGTTAAACCTAAACGGACGCTGCTTGTCAGGAAATACAAAAAAATACAAAGAATAAAGAAAAAAACTATTTAAAATATTTAAATTCGACTATTCGAGAACACTTTACTTTTTTAAAACAGATACGTCCAAAGAATATACCTAGCTAGAAAAAGAATTGGACTCTTCCATACTGAAAAATGGTCCTACAGAAGTGGCGCCATCTATTGAGTAGGGCTTGTTTTAAATGGATCGAAGCGCGGGCTTTTTAAATGAGCGTATTTATTGAATTTTACTCTAAAATAATTAAATTTGATTATTAAATTTTACTTTTTACACAAATTCAACATTACTAATGACAAGTATCGTTGTGTTGTGTAAAAAATAAGATTTAACAGTATAATTTATACAATTATTAAATAAAATTAAAGCCAAATATGTGTAAATATTATTTATTATTTCAAAGTTTTTATTTACAAGTCAAATATTTAAACATCGTTTATTATAATAAAACAAGACCTACATAATACGCCCAACGTTTTGTAAATGGAGTAAATATAAATAGGTACTTAAATGATGGCAAAAATAATAGACTTACATTATATTTTTAGGGCCACAAACAAAAGGAATTGTCTAGTTAAAACACATATAACAAATTATAGTTTGAAAAACGTTTTGATAATCATTTGATTGGATACGTCTACAACATGGTACAAAGAAAACAAGGTATGATCGATAGCGGCTCCAATTTCGTTAAGTTTGCGCATACCTCCTGTGACGTCATACACCATACAAAAAAATATCCATATTGTTCAATTGCCACTAATAAAAAAAGACCTAAAATAGGGAAGAATTAGGACATAACCCCAAAAGTTATGTCAATCATCGAGCTTGACATTTGAAAAATTATTTTCACATTTATTGTGTCATCTGTTTGACAATTTTTGACAATTTGAAATTGGCGCGCGGAACTTACATTACCAATTTTAGGGCCACAAATCAAAAGGAATGTGAATTAAAACACATATAACAAATTATAGTTTGAAAAACGTTTTGATATTCTTTGTATCATGCGTCTACAAGAAACCGTTGACGTTCTGTGAAAATGACATTTTAAACTTGATATTTAAATTTCAAAATTAACAATTACTACCTGATAACAATTACTTAATAAGGTAAAACCAAAAAGCCCCAAACTTGCTGTATGATTATTTTTAAATTTTACGTATGTTATGTTTATTTATCTTGTTGTATCTATTGTTCTTTAAAATCAAAGAAGCGATTGCCATACATTACTAACATCTACAGATGCATGAGCAATACATTTATTTTTATTAGATTGAATTAAAAAGCCTCTTTTATTTTTCTTTTAGAGACTATCGCTTCTTTCATTATAATTTTGGCGTTATTAAAATTTATTCTGTGCCCTGTGTCCCAAGAATGCGGACAAATCTTAGATTTGTGAAAGTCTCCCTTTCTTAAATAATCTTTATGTTCTTTCATTCTGACATTTAAGGGTCTAGATGTTTCACCCATAGATAAAAGAAAATAATCTACTATTAAGATAGATATGAAACTTAATAGTAAAATTTTGGGTCAAAGCGCCCCTCCGTGTTTTTAGTGGAGACTACATTTAACCCAGCGCCTTCGCCTTTTCTGCTGTAAATGTTTTTTATGTTTATATTTGAATTCAAAGGATTTATTTTTAAAGTTACACTGATATATTAGTATATCAGAGTAACTTTAATAAAACATAAGAATATTTTATATATTTCACAATTTATTTTTTTATTTATTTTACAGAGTTTCATGTGAATGATCGTAAATCGACTGGCTGTCTAATGAATAGACCGGGATTTATAGATTTTAAAGCGAACGAAAAAAAATCAAACAACGAATACATACCATATATTTTTCTTTTATCTAAGATACATACCTTATCGTTTTTTGGAAACACGTACATTTTTGCAGTTTTGTTAGTTTCTTTGCAAGATGCAACACAACAAGAAAACACCATTTTACAGTTAATAAATAATAAAACTATTTCTGACTATGATATAAAATTTAGATAGATAGAGAATTAAAAAACGAACGAGTATTTGCAAACGCAGGCCCAAATTCAATAAAAATCAAAAATTTTCCTGCGAAAATCAGGCTTTTTTCACTGAAAAGGTATTTTTTTTGATTTATCAGCAGTCGTTGTCAAGTTGACAATATACAGGGTGTTTTCGAATTAGTCTAAAAAAATTATGGGGTGATTCCTCATGTGTTCTTAAAACAATTTTTATACAACCATTGGGTCTAAAGTACTTCCTTTCTGATCTACAGGGTGTTAAAAATTTTAAAAATCGATTTTTTTGCTTAACATAAATGGTACAGAAAGAAGTTTTTACAAAATATAACTATTTTATTTTGTAGAGAGATGAATCCGCCACATAGTTATAGACATTTTTTACAAAAATAATATTTTGGCTGCTTTGTTTAGTTTTTATACTCCTGAGAATTTATAATAAAATATCAGTCATTGCTCTATAAAATGCAAAATTTTATAGCAGTTGAATTAGTAAACCTCTATGAAAGTATAGAGTATACCACATTTTTTTTTGGTTTCAGGTTTATGGAACAACACCCAGAAATGGATTTCTCAAAATGCAAGTTTAATTAATTAGTTTTTACTTTTATTTACACTGTGTATTATTTCTGATGCCTACCATAATAAGTTTTTTTAATTGATATTTGTTTGCAAGAACGCATACAAGTTATTTCTATTTATTTCGTATATCTCAACAGGATAAGTTGTTTTCTTTACGTACATTGAAAAAAAAAAAAGAAATAAAATATAAAAAATCCTTTATTTATTTCATAATACCTATTTAAAGCCTCTTAAAACCAGAAAAACATACACATACAAAATGTTTAAGCAAAATTATAAAATATATCAAACATTACTATTTTACATTATCTCCCTTTAAAAATATATGGAGAATAATTGAAATGACAAGTATTAAAAATCCTGTACCTACTCCTATTAAATACTTATGGGAACTTATATTTGTAGAAACTTGTGGTATCAAAGTGTCACATTCTGCTTCTGGACTAGATGTTTCTTGATAATATTGTGATATATCTGAAAAAAAAATATCAGTTATAACACAATACAGTTAAAAATATATTTTATAATACCTGCTTGGCCTTCTAGATCTAGTACTTCTAACTCATTGCCTGCCTTTATATCAAGTAACTCTTCCAAAGATGTTTTAACATCTTCAGCACCTTCACCAGGAAATAAGTAATCAGAAATGGAAATGTTACTATCTGGCAGTGTTATCAGCATTCTTCTTGGAGGTTCATGGACAGTATTAATATCTAGAATTATTTATTTATAACAATTATTTTTAAGAACATGATAAAACTATGGTATATTTACTCTCGCCTAATTCTTCATCTGTTAAAGAATCCCAGTGCATATCCACCCTTCCCGATAAACTTCGCATTATATCTTCCTTTATAGCCTGCTCAACCTCACTAATCGTGGTTTTCGGGTTCAACCAAAGTTTACTAGCTACCTCGCCTATGATTCTTATCTGACCCATTACTTTTTCAGTTTCAATTTTATCAGGAATTTCCATGGAATACTGTAAATAATATTCTTAACCTTACTTAAAATATTTATAATTAAAAATATGAAAGTACTTACTGTATCCTCATAAATGGATACTTGAACGGGTTTTTCTTCAGCATTATTATCAATATTCCTTTTGGATGAACCTCTTGGTATTTTTTTCTTTTTATTTATGCTTTCTATCCTTTCATCTGATTCTTTAAACTCGTCATTAAACAAAAAGAAATATTTTTGAAGTTTCTTATTAATATTGTCTAAAATAATCTAAAACTGACTTAATCAACTTACTTTAGTATACATTAAAATGCAGCTCTTACCTTAATATGTCTATTCAATGGTCCTTCATAGTTATTCCCACTTATAAAATACAAATAATCAATCACGTATTTAAATTCAAAATTTAGCCAATTATTTATTTTAGGGAGGAACTTAAAGTCGACAGGTGTGATACTTGAACTTGCAACATTATAACTTTTCGCAAGGTATCTTTTTGTTTTTCCTGAATAGTGAAAAATTAATTTTTCACTACCACAATTACCGAAGAGATAATTCTGATTTCCTAATGTCTTGTTAACTGTTGTCAATAATGTACGAAGTTTTGAGTTAAAGGGATTGAGTATCTCTTCATCTGATACTACGAAAACACCCAGTACATGCATTCCTCCTGGCAACATTCTCGTTGCTTGTAGAGCGTGATCTGCCACAAAACTGTCATTTATCTCTAAAATATTTTTCATAGTTACAAGAGGTTTTCCGGCAGCTTTATCTTCGTCAGTTTGAAAGGGTGGCGTTTTTGCAAAGTGAAACACATGATATTTTTGAGAAACTACCTGTTAAACACATCATTTGAAAAACTACCCATGTTTTTATAAATATCCCCTTACCTGTCCTAATATTAAACCTACTGCACATTTGTAGTTAGTAGGAATATCTGATAAATATTTCAGCCAATATTCTTCCCCTTCAGCTTGACGAGTCATGATATTAATATTATTTTTAATTATACAATTTTATTAATTTTAATATATTTTTAAATGGAACAGCTGTTATGAATTGTGACGTGTGACGTCAACGGATGTCACGTTATTTGACAGATCTGGTAAAATACAGGAATCTAGAATTTCGTTTAGTTTTTAATTTCAAGGCGTACGTTTAGACGGCTCTAGTGTCAAAAGGCCTTAAATTCCCTAAATATTATTTGAATTTTCAATATTTTTTCTATAGAAAATAAATTATTAGGAGATTTGGAAATAATAAATTCAATAAGTTCATTTGTTAATTTTTTTATTTCTTCAGAAATATTATAAAAAGAATAAATAATTACAATAAATATTTAGTTTACTAATCACTGCAGGTGTGATTTCATAAAATGTCCTGATAATGGACCCTCATCAGCATAACCTGCTATTTCTTGAGGAATTACTGCACTCTCTTCTACTCCAGTGCACGGTCTACACATACATTCTAAAGGTGCTTTTGTTGTTACCTACAATTTTTTTTTAAAATAATTAGATTATGGCTAATAAATTCATAATTTGAATAATTGCGCCATACTGCCAACCTAAAATTATTACCATTCCCTTGATGAATTGTTTTGACAGAATTTGACATATGCTTAAGTGAATTTCTCGAGTTTGCATTTTGTTGATTATTCACTTTTTTAGCAATTATTTATAACATCCTGGTGTTGTGAAAGTGTTTGATTAACAATTTATTAATAATTTGGTGTAGTGAAGTGATAAGGAAGTAATTTAAATTATGTAATCAATGGTAAGTTATATTGCCAATAGTTTTAAATGGATCATTAGAACAAAATGGTCTTTGTTTATGAGGAAAATTACCTTAATAAATTTTCTTTCTCCCGGCTTCGCTTTAGGGCAGAAAAGCGATACAGATGCTTCTCTTTCACCTGATTCTTGACAGCACATACATGATCTTTCCATTTGCCAAATTTTACTTCCAGATACCTGAGAGTTGTTAATTATGTTAGACATATTTGCTATAATGCTTCTAGTTAAATTATATTAAATTCTTACTTGTAAATAAGATGCACATCTTCCAGTGCATGCAAAACTAGGAATTGGCTTTGGTACACATCCAGGATATTGCAGAACATGAATTACTGGAGTTACTTGACATTCATCGCTAGTACTAGCTGCATCAACTTTTGAAATGTATCTTGGATTGATACACATACTTGCTAATATGACAATTACTATATTATAACAGAGTTTTCCAGATACTAAAAAATCAATTAGAATATATAAATATCATTTAAAACACTTTATAGATCTCTATTTACCTGAATTATAGAACTTTCTGGACAGAAACATTCTGTCATAAAACTATTATTAAGACTCGCAGTCTGTTTTAGAATTTTCCTTTTTATAAATTTCCTTGGATGTTATTTCAGTGTCGTTTTGTTTCCACCATGTTTTACTCTGTTTTTTTGCTGGTAAAAGATTTTATGTGAAATTCATGTTTGGTGAAATGCTTCGTATTGATTAGGAGGGCCCCATGCTGTTTATAAAATGGAATAAAGCGTGTTCTTCCAGTCTCCCTGTGTTCTTGAAATTCTCGCCTTTTTTTGACCTCTGTGCTTTCTACAAAAAAATACCAGGGTGGTTTTATTTCATTTCAATTTACATAAGCTTTCACTTAAACTACAAAAGTGTTCTCTTTTATTTATTTTAATTTTCTGTAAACGGGCGAAGTACATGGGTATTTTTTATGACATTTTTTTCTTATTTTAGTCTTGAATCAATAATGATCCATGGACAAGAAAAATACTTCTAAAAGACGTACCCCAAACTCTAAAAAGGCAGTGAAAAAGGTTGATTCGAAGCAAAACTTAAGTCTGTCAGAATTAAAGGGTCTTTATAAGTCTTTGAATAGGAATAGCGTTAAGTTAGATAGAGAAATAGCTCAGTTAAAGTCAGAAGGTGTGTTTTTATATTTTTAATACAGTCATTTTAAATAAGTTTTAAGATTTCTCGTAGATTCCAAAATTACCATACAAGCTAATTACTTTAAATTTCATAATTGCGATGTTTTTAAATATATACATATTATACCGGGTGCGTCTCAAAAGTGGCTCATTTCTATAACTTCTTTATTTTTTAGATAAAAAAACGATATTTGGTATGTTAGTATATGACATAAATTAGGATTTATTGACGTATTCAGTTGTTGTAACTTCCTGTTTCACCGGAAATGACTACAACTTTTAATTTTTAAGTGGCACCCTCAGTATATTTTTACTTTATATGACAGAAAATGACACTGCATTGAAATTGTATGCGGTTCATAACGACAATTTTACTCGAAATACCAAGTGTGTGGTACCAAATTGTTCCTAAAAAAATGCTTTCTCCAAATATGCTAATGAGCCACCCTTGTTCCATTTGGAAAAAAAAATGGGATATGATTAAAAATACAATTTGGTTTTAACCGACTAGGACAAGACACGAAAAACTTGATCAAATCTATTTTTCCAAGGCTCCTTTAAAACAGAAATTTAAAACACGAATTTTTTAAGCGAAAATGTCAGAAGTTGACATATTCTATCCAGAGTGTCATGTTCTATCAAATAAGAAAAAAAAATAAAATAAAAAAAAGGAAAAAAAAATAACCAAAATAAAAAAATAAATATAATATAATTTATTAATTTTCTTAAAGTAAAAATATACCGAGGGTGCCATTTAAAAATCAAAACTTGTAGTCATTCGTGGTGAAACAAAAAGTGACCAAAAACAATTATTGAATACGTCAAACAATCCTAATTTAGGTCATATACTAATATACTAAATCTCGTTTTATCTGAAAAACTAAAAAAGTTACAGGGGTGAGCCACTTTTGAGACGCACCCGGTATATACATACATGTATAATGAAATTCTATTAAATTTTTTTATTATGCATTTAAATAATTTTATAATTATGCAGGGTTTTCCTTAATGAAAGTAAAATTGACTGATTTTTTAAGCAAAAACGAGCAAGGGATGAAAGTTGTTTAGGAATTAATGAAGATTTAGAAAATAGTGTTTATCTTAAGACAAGTCAGTGGCGTACTATTTTTTTCTCTAAAAATACTTAATAATGTTTAGGAGAGGGGTTAATCACCGCGATCTTACATATCAATTGTGTCCTCTTTCTTGAGTTATAACTCATCATACAGGGCTTTGACAAAAGCTAGTATCTGAGACGGCTCCACCTGTTTAGAACATACATTCAAATGATTTTTTTTCTTACAATAAGTTCAAGAATCACCCACATAAATATTAGCTTGTTATTAGGGAACACCCTGTATATTTGTTGATATTTTCATTAAGAAATTACATTTAAGTATAGTTTTTACTATAAAACGATTCATTTCTCATATAATCCTTGATGATCATTGGGAATAAAATGTTGAATAGGAATTTATGATTTTTTAGGTGTCACTGATAATTTAAAACCTGAAATGCAAGCATTGCATGACTACAATGATATTAAAGATGTCACACAAGTAGTTTTAGGATATTTAGCTGATATAGAAAATTGTACTATTACTGATCTCTATACGAAGTACTCACTTCCTGCTCAAAGTAATTGAAGTATATTGGTAAGTAGATTTGTTCATATTTAGATTTTTATTAAGGATTTTGTGTATAAATAAAATCAAAGGTATAATTCAAGACACTTTATTCAAACCACACTTTCACACATAACTGATAAAATAATTTTTTTAATTAATATATAAAAGACACTAGCCATTGGTGTTACATAAAAGCACTAAGCTATAAAGTAATATTTGTTTCACTTTTTAACAGAAAAAAAAATAACGAAAAATCTAACGACTAAAATCTCCACATTTGTAACATTTGCATTCGGATGGTTCTCTCAATTTGATGTCCATGGCATTATAGCCTTCGTTGGTGAGTCGTACTCCATCAGGATCGTAGCAATGTGTGAGAGTGATGACTCGTTCTCTCAAGTAGCTCTCGCGACAACAATAGCATTCCTGTACAAAGAAAATCACAGTTAGGGATATCTTGTAATTGATAAATTATTAATACAATCACGTAAAAAAATATTTAAATTTTTTTATTGGATTGGTAGGATATAATCGAAAAAAAAAATAATCGTCATGGTAACCGTTAAAGTGACCATCAACCATATTTTTACTAATTGACATTTACTACAAATGGTCAAGTTTTTATGTCTATCTTTAAAAAATTATTTACAGGGGTGGCCGCATATACCATACTGGCAACTGTTACATTTGGGTGGGCATTTACATGTGTGGAAATAAATCGCATAGGGATCTTATTAAGTCGGAGTGAGAGAAATGTACCGGTATGCCTTTCCCTATCAAGTAAAGTAAAATCACGATTGCATACCGCTTATTTTTAAAAGACTTTTTTTTCGTAAAGATAACTAGATAAAATCATTAGACATGTTTCTGAGCATCTGAGATGGAATTATAAGGATATAGTTAGGGTATCATTTTTTTTACAACGAGAAAACGTCAGTAATTGCGATAATTTAAAATCTCAACTTTTTAACACATAACATGCCATAACTCAAGAACGACTTTAGATATTGAAACTTTTTTTTATTTTGAAGATCAGATCTTTTACAATATGTTTACATAAGAAAAATTCGATAAGATTTTTTTTCCATTCAAAAATTAACAACCCATCTTTTAGAACATAGCAATTTTCAGCAATTGTGTAATTTTTTATTGATCAAGATTTTCACATACTGTCTACGAAGAAAATAGGAATATTAAGAAAGTTTTTGAAGAAACTACAATCAATTATTTCTAATAGATTTTGAGATATCGATTTTTGAGTTCAGAGTTCTAATAGCGCGACCACTGTCGAACACCAACTCAATTCCACTTATTTTTACGAAAAATGTAAGTGTTTCTAGTTTGCACTTAAAAGTTTTCAAGCTGTAGGGAAAATTACAACGACTCGTTAATAAATAAACAAATAACCTATCACAAAACGTAATTAAATCGTGAAACTGAACGCATTATTTACACCTTTCCTTAGAACTTTAAGTACTAACAGAGGTACTGATTGGGTCGACCGGTCAACTGCGACAAATCTGCTATATTCCCTTCCACGTCTCTTAGCAATGTGCACACTTTCTCGGTTTATTTCATACGTTTGGCAACGTGTTTACTGTTCTCTCTTTGTTCAATACATTATAAACGCGTTGTACTCTTCTTACGTTCGTTGCCAGGCCTTAGTATATTATCATGGATTATCGTTTCAGAAGTCACTTTAACGCCCTTTTTTTCCGATGGTATGTTATTTAGAAGATCACATTATTTTTAAAAAAATTGCTCTGGTTTCTTGGTTAATTATTTTGAATTAGCGAGAGTCTATTATTATGAGTCTGATGACTAATCTCATTTGTTTATTCATTTTTAATTAAATATTTTTTATATTTTTTTTTAAATCTGCAGCTAATTTATTCTGAGATAATTAATTTTTTTATTACTATTTCTTTTTATATTTAAAAATAGAATGTACGGGGTGTCCCATTTATAACTCACCAAAAACGCGAGAACCCCTTAGTCCCATAGAGTATTTTACTTAAAAACCGGTAGCGTAACTAGTTCTTCGCTGAGAGCTGTCATTTCGGAAATATGACTCAAACTTTTAGATTTTTTAAATGGGTCACTCTGTATATTATTATTTTTTATTTGCCTTGTCATGAGCTTTCTAAAAATGTAATATATTTTATACTTGCAAATCATACGAAAATTGGACACCCTGTACAAAACTTACGTTAAGAATTTTAAGCCGTGGTTAGACGTAACGTTTTATTTGTCAGGTAAAACTAACGTACCTATACACTGGAAGTTTTACATGTGGTTTAATCAATTATTGATATGTGATTGAACAGAGTTACGTTAGTAGACGGGTAAGACAGGTTAGACGTAACGTTTTATTTGTCAGGTAAAACTAACGTACCTATACACTGGAAGTTTTACATGTGGTTTAATCAATTATTGATATGTGATTGAACAGAGGTACGTTAGTAGACGGGTAAGACAGGTTAGACGTAACGTTTTATTTGTCAGGTAAAACTAACGTACCTATACACTGGAAGTTTTACATGTGGTTTAATCAATTATTGATATGTGATTGAACAGAGGTACGTTAGTAGACGGGTAAGACAGGTTAGACGTAACGTTTTATTTGTCAGGTAAAACTAACGTACCTATACACTGGAAGTTTTACATGTGGTTTAATCAATTATTGATATGTGATTGAACAGAGGTACGTTAGTAGACGGGTAAGACAGGTTAGACGTAACGTTTTATTTGTCAGGTAAAACTAACGTACCTATACACTGGAAGTTTCACATGTGGTTTAATCAATCATTGATATGTGATTGAACAGAGGTACGTTAGTAGACGGGTAAGACAGGTTAGACGTAACGTTTTATTTGTCAGGTAAAACTAACGTACCTATACACTGGAAGTTTTACATGTGGTTTAATCAATTATTGATATGTGATTGAACAGAGGTACGTTAGTAGACGGGTAAGACAGGTTAGACGTAACGTTTTATTTGTCAGGTAAAACTAACGTACCTATACACTGGAAGTTTTACATGTGGTTTAATCAATTATTGATATGTGATTGAACAGAGGTACGTTAGTAGACGGGTAAGACAGGTTAGACGTAACGTTTTATTTGTCAGGTAAAACTAACGTACCTATACACTGGAAGTTTTACATGTGGTTTAATCAATTATTGATATGTGATTGAACAGAGGTACGTTAGTAGACGGGTAAGACAGGTTAGACGTAACGTTTTATTTGTCAGGTAAAACTAACGTACCTATACACTGGAAGTTTTACATGTGGTTTAATCAATTATTGATATGTGATTGAACAGAGGTACGTCAGTAGACGGGTAAGACAGGTAAGTTGTAATGTGTAGCTCAGCCTTTAGTCACACTTGTAAAAATTTGGACATAAAAGTTACCAAGTTACCTTCATTTTTTTTTATACAATATATTATTTTGTTTATTTAGCAAATTTATAGTTTCTAATAAAAATCCAAGGACTTGCACCTAATAACTTGTTAATAAAAAATGGCAGATTTTATTTTTTCTGCCTTCTTTTAGTAATGATTTTCTCAAAGAAGACTATGCTAAAACTAAATAACTAGAAAAGTAGTTATATTATTTAATATTCATTGCCTGATACACATCGGTATACACAATGAATTTTATTTAATTGTTAATTGTTTCAGTGCAATTGTTGGACCAGTGTAAATACTAGCACCTCAATAAAAAAAATAATGTGTCCTTATCTTTATTTGACTCCGCAAAAAATCAAAGATGCCGGCTTCTTTCATTGCCACCGACCGCTGTCGGGTTTCTAGGAAAGAAACCTACGTCGCCGGACGATAACTAAAATCCAGTTTATATTTTATTAAAATCGATCCTGGCGAATAAATGAATTTGATAAATGAATGAATTTTATAATTGAATGGTTTTTGCTGCCGAATTACTAGAATACAGTATTTCAAGGCAGATGACGCATCTATTCGATAATTTTTATTCGAATAGTTTTCGACAAATGTTTTCTTACTAGCTATCGAATTATTCGAATGAATTGCAACTATCGAATGTTTCGATAGTATTCATTCGATAGTTCCCACTACTAATTCAAAAGGTTAGAATTAGTGGTAGTAATTTTCAATCAGTAGAAAAAGTTAACCAAAAACTTAACTTTTCCACTAATTAAACTTCATTCAGAACCTCGCAATTAGGGGAATAAATTAGTGGTTTCAATTATTATTATGCCCTTTTTGAGTCACGTCTTGCCCTTCCATTCTGGGGTACTTGCTGCGCAACAAAATTTGATCGTATTTTCAAACTTCAAAAGAGAGCAGTTCGATATTTATTGGGACTGAACAGTAGAACTTACTGCCAGAATTTCTTTAAAAAATTCAAAATACTGACTCTTTCTTCTTTATTCATTCTTGAATCCGTTTGCTTAATCCGCAAGCACATATCTGCTGCTATTCCCGAAAGACCATCTCACTCTTACGAATGCGGAGCACGATCTTTATCTGCCAACCCAGAGCTCAGAACTAGTTAAAGGCTCAATACTGTACAATGCCAAAAAAATGTGACAAAAATTGAGCTCCAGACATCGATATTAGTTTTTGTCGATCTCCTATAGAAAAGGGTGTTTCTATTTAAAAGCGTCGAATTTGACCCACTCTGTACAATCATCTGCCTTTGAATATCAAGTCGCTTTCATTCTTTCCCGCATTTCGCAAAGCTCTGAAATCATACTTACTCGAGAGAACCCTATATGCGGTAAACGACTTTTTTGTTGATGTTTAATCATGAATAAATTTTGAATTTTAAAATTTTGATTATCTCACACACTGGTCAAAAGTCACATTTCTCGCAAATTTTGAAGTATAGTTGTGGAAAAGTGAAAAGTTTAAAACTTTTTCTCTTAATTGACAATGTCTCCCACTACTTTTGATGTTCTGAATGCTTACGTTGAAATTAAAGGAACAAACTTATACTGAATGAGGCTATAGAATTGATAATAATTAAAAGTAGATGAGTTTTTTCTGTTATTTTTTGTATGTAGTCTGTCGAAATCATATAATCCCTAGCTGGAAAATTATATTTGATTTTAACACATTAGATCGTACTGTAATACCTTTAGAAACCCAGTTGGAGTGATCACAGAGGGTTGAACTTGACTTTTACACGAACCCTCGCATTTGTTTACAGCCACCTCCCCATTACATGTCCTTTGCAACCTTCCCAATTCATCAAACTCTTCTACAAAACAAATAAAATACCATTTTTTAATAAAAATAAAGCTTTTTACCAATAATTTAGTAAAAAATCATATACCAAGACACTTTAATGTCAAAATTATCAGCAGATGATAAAAATCATTATCTACTAATAATAGTGACGTGAAAGATTTCATCTTAAATTCCTAATAAAGTCTATCCAACCACTCAGAGAAGATTTCGACAAACGACATTCAAAAAATGACAGAAAATGCAATTTGTCTGTGATTTAAAATGACAGACACAACTTTCACTATCAGGGGTCTTCTCGTTGGACAAACTCTATTGTATAGTTGTCGTACCTTTTGTTATGTGTATTTCTGATGGTAAAGTTTCGCACGTTTCTTCTGCAAGCTCTGTAACACCCCGTACATAGCTGATCAGTAATGTTAAAATAAAAAATCTAAAGTAAGACATGTTTTTAAGTATTTATTTTCTAAAAGAGTTTCGAAATTTTGAACTGTAAAATTTGAAAAGAAATTTTAAACCATGTTTTTTCTCGACTGTACCCCGTCACTTTGCTCGGGTTATTGTCCATATTTTAATCCTGGATTTTCTTTTATATGTAATGCTTTCGAGCTATTGAACCCTGTGGTTATTACGGCCGGACCCTACTGCGAACTACACGCCTAGCGTTTTATGCTAAAATTCTATTCTATTTAAAGTTTGCATTAAACATGTCTAGATCCTGTCGAAAAAAATTTACTATATGTTGGTTTGTGGATGGATATAACTAAAGTGAGTGTGCTATATTCTACCGCAGAGTGAGAAATATTATAGTTTAATACTTGTTAAACATTTTAGGTAAAAAAAATTGCATGTGTATATAATGTAAAACTTCTTACTAACAGCTATGAAATTGGGGGATTTGAAGGACATGTGAAAAAGTGACATATAATGCTGTTTTAATATAAATGTTATTTTCGGTTTATTTCTGTAATCTGTACATTGTCTGTTTCCTCAATAGCTTGCAAATTTAGTGGAATACCACCCAACACACACTTTTATGCAAATGCTAACGCTTATATTTATTTAAGAATAGAAAACATTTTGAACCTAACCAACAATTCGTATTTATAGTGGTTTAAATTAATGTTTGTGAAATTATACAAATATTCTCGTTGATTATTAGTTTGAAATAAATATGACGATGTCCTCCAATGAAAATGCGAGTTGCTTAACTCTAATAATCCGGAGTTTAACCATAGTTTTTTTATTGCAAATAATTAATCATCATACAATTTTATGACACCCGGATTTTTTTATTTTACTTCAATTTCATCCCATTTTTTTTAAAAATTAATATTAAGAATTTCAAATTTACACTTTTGCAATCCCTGACGTGTCACGGTGTGCCACCAGGTACAAAGGTAAATAAAAACCATTTTTCTAAATGTATTTTAAAGTAGATGTAAAATTAATTGTAAAATAAAACTTAAGGAACTTACGTTAAAATGATCTTCACAGCAAAATCTCGTACTTTTGCTGACATATTGTTGTCTTGCCGCTTCAAACCAGGCTCTTCGACGGCTTTCATCCAAAGGAACAGTTATAAAAACCTTTTCTGGAGAGCCTTCAGAGTTATTTAGACAGCCTTTCACAAAACAAACTTTAACTTGGTAATTTGGTACTATAAAACAAAGTTGAAAACTCAAAGTATTGTTACGTTTTTCGTCGGTTCCGTGTGGATAGAAAGTCACAATTTATTTAAACACTATTTATTTAACACTAATTAACAAAAACAATAACGATAAAAGACTTAAAGAACTATTTACAAACGATTTATAACTAAGAATTTATTTTGAATTTTAGCGCGTCAACTGTACTCGTATAATTATAACTGCCCTCTTTAGGCCACAGCCGCCGGCTTTTATACCTACAGCTAAAGATTTCTAGAATAGTCCATAGATCGTTAGGTGCATAGAGAAGGTTTCGATTCTTCTCCTATGTACTACTCCATTCCAGTGGAACTCGATTTTTCTCGAACGTCCGAATGAATCATTACGGTGTCTATTCTTTAATGCGATGTGAAGGTCATCTGAGGGCGGGACATAAAGTTAGGTTAGGTCGAGTCCACACGGGTCCGCAACAGTATTTAACGCCAAACGCAAAATCCACAAAATACGAATCTAACCTCGAACCCTCGAACGCCTCGAACATCCGAACAACTTTGGTAGTGTTTAGTGCTTCGATAAAAATGGCAAATTTGTATTGAATTTGATTTATTATTTATTCCTTAATTGTAACTTCGTTGCATTTCTTTTTGTATTGAATGAGTACGTCTTAATCACTTCAGTTGAATTTTATATTAAAAATAACAAAAATTTACTATGGTTACACCGGATCGATCATATTTATAATGGTGTTTTTTTTCTAGATGTCTGTTAGTTAACTCACCTTTTCGCTGAAAAATAAAATGTCAGATACGTCATCGGAAGATGCGCTACAGTCGGACAGACAGAGCGACAAAGAAGACAGCGTATGTCGCGATTTTGTCAGGGGCATTTGCGATAGACAGTTTTGCAAGTACAAGCACGAGAACGAAATACGGCCTCTGAATTTCTGCTACGATTTCCAAAATAACATTTGTCCCAGACCCCATTGCAAGTAAGTATTGTCTGAATATACATGTGTCAATAAATTCGCAAGTTTTTATTTCAAAGCCACTGCGACGCCCGTCTTAAGTCTTCCCTTTTTATGACCATTTTTAATGCACGAAGATATTTCTCCTTACCTCACACTCCATAGGTTAACCCTCAAAGTTTTTCGCATTTTTTTGAAACGCCCTGTATAAAATTTTATCTTTCTACAGATTTATCCATTGTTCTCCCGACGAAGTTGAGGAATACAAAAGAAGCGGCGAAATGTCCAACCAAATCCTGGCAGAAGCCACTCGAAAGAGCCAACTTCCCGGCACACCCCCTGTTTGCAACCAGTTCAAAAAAGGAATCTGCAGACGAGCCCACTGCAAGTTCAGGCACATCACTAAAGAGCAAGAGGAGAAGGAAATTATGGACCTGATTCACAACAATGTCCAGAGGAAGAAAGGGAACACTATTCAGGAATCTCAGTTTTACAGCAGCGGCGGGTTTCTCAGTAGAAGAAACGGAATTGATTTTAGTGAGTACAGCGAGAGCGGCCTGCCTTTAGCTAAGAGAAGGTTCATTGCTGCCGAGGAAATGTTGAACAGGGAATTACAGCTGGAAGCTGACAGGATCAGACCGGTTTTCAAGGGGTACTTTGCCGGAACTCCGCCTCCCGGTGTGCTGGATAGGGTCGATGCAAGGTAAGTTGGACAGGGGTTAAATTGCGCGTGCGTCGTCAGTCTATGTCAGACGAATTTTTTATTTTTGAATTTTAAATTTTAAATGAAATGCTGATCCATGATATTACTATCAATCAATCAAAATTTGACAATTTGACAACCGACACAATTAAAATTATAGGCTAAAAATATGATGTAGAATGTTTAGGCGGGGAGTTAATCACCGCGACCTTACGGATCTATTTTGTGTTCTCCTTTCTTGGGTTATAACGAGTTATAACTCATCATACAGTCTCAGGGCTTTAACAAAAGCCAGTATCTTAGATGGCTCCACAGAGGCCAGCTCTCCATCCTCAACATCAGCGGTACCAAAGTTCATGGCACGAACGGTCGTCGTCTCGGCGCACTCAGTGAAAAGGTGTTCTGGTGTTTCCCCATTTTCCCCACAAAATCTGCGTTCGCCGTTGTTCCTCAGCTTCAGTCTACTGAGGTGTTTGTCATGAGACAGTGTCCTGTTAGAAACCCCGTGACAATCCGAAGATTGTTTTTACTTAAAAGAAGGAAACTCTTTGATTTTTCTCGGTTGTAAGTTCTGAGGAACTTTTTCGAGTGTCTTAGACCGTTGGAGGACTTCCATTCCAGGTTATGAATGGAGTCTTCCAGGTTCCTCAGTTCCGCCTTTAGTTGGTTTCCACTTGGAAAACAGAACGGTTCTGGTCCAGTTAATGGAGTGTTCACTCCTTTTCTAGCTAGATCATTTGCTTTTTCATTGCCTTCTATCCCTTGATGAGCGGGCACCCAGAATAGGAGGACTATATTTTCTTTGCCTAATTTGTTCAGTTTTTCTAGGCATTCTTTAAACAACTTCGAATTGATGGTTACTGAGTTGGTCGCGTTTAGTGCTGCCTGACTATTGGATAAGATGGCTATTTCCTGTTTTCGATAGTTCCTGTCTAAGATAATTTGTACGCATCTTTCGATAGATGCCTGGGGTAGGTGCCTGATGATTCGGAGTATTTAGTTTTCGGCCTAAATACTCCTATGCCTGTCCCTGCTTTGGTTTTGGAAGTATTAGTATACCACATTATGGTATGGTCTTTTACATGCTGAGCAAACGTTTTCCCCTTCCAATCCTTTTTATTACTCAATACTACAGTGAGGTGTTTCTCAATGTAGTAGATTCTTGGTATGTCATCCACTGGGAGTTGGAGACGTAAATATCCATTGTCGCATTGGCATAACTACCGACGACAATGTGCAGTGGTGTATGATGACAGTGTGACTATGATGACCTCCATTGCTGCTGTTGGCATGTTTTCATGGCACCTGTGAAATATGATAAACATACTGAAAATTTGGTCCACCGAAAAATTACTTGTCTATATATTCTATCTCAAAATTATGATATAATGATTTTCTCCGCTATTTCAAATAAAACACCCAGCATTGTTTGACTGTTGCCTTTCAGGAACTTGATATTAGAAGAGGAAAACAATCTCCTGCATAAAGAAATAGCCCAACTAAAGAAACAAGTAAGTTAATTTACTAAAAAATATATATACATTTTATAAAATTATTATTAATTTTAGGTTCAAGATCTGACAGCTACTAACGAATTTCTGCTGGATCAGAATGCCAATCTGCGGGTAACAAACAAGCAAAACTCAGTTAACATGCCCGCCGTGACATTGACAAACACCAACACGCAACCGCAAATGATCAGGACGGTCACGGCCAGCGTTGCCACAGTGCCTGTCAGTTTGGCAACCGTGACGACCGGAAATCCAGTGTCTGGGAACCCCGTATCTATAGCAGGTTGTCCTACTGTTAGTATAGCTTCTCCCGCCCAGATTCTAGCACCCAGTCAACAAATACTAGGTTAGTGAAGGTTTTTTGAATTATTTTGTATATCTGTTACAATATCTTTTTATTTTATAGTAACAACGAATCCTGGACAGCAACTAGCCTTGGCTACTTCAACCCAACAGGCTCAGCACATGGCCAATCAGCAGTTAGCTTTGGCCAACGCATCTCAGCAATTAAATTCTCAACCCCAACAAATAACCCTGACCAGCAACCCTCAGACACACCAACAGTTAACCAGTCAGGCGCAGCAGCTAGCTTTGGCAAATACCACGCAACAGTTAACTTCGCAGGCGCAACAGTTGGCCTTGGCGAACACCACGCAACAGCTAACCAGTCAGGCTCAGCAGTTGGCTTTGGCTAGCGCTCCACAACAGTTAACTTCCCAAGCGCAACAGTTGGCTTTGGCTAATACTACGCAACAGTTAACTGTGACTAACGTGCCGCCTCAGCAGTTAACTTTGGCTAATACGAATCAACAGCTGTTGGCTGCGCAACAAAATCTGGCTGCGTCTACTCAACAGATCGAGCAAATGCATAGAAATAATCAAATAAATGCTGCGATAAATACTTCTCAGGCTATCGCCATGTCCAATGCATCTCAGCCGATGGTCTCATACCCTATTATGACACAAAGTTTGAACCATCCCTTGGCTCATTAGCAGAAGGTGTTGTATTTGCTGGATAGTTAAAGAATGAAAATAAGATTTAGCTATTATGCAGTGAGCAAGTGACAGTTTGTGATCTTCAAAGATTTTAAGGTATTTCTTTAGTGCTATTGGTGTTGTGAGGTATTTCTATCAAAAGTTTTCTATATGGTATTTAAGAACTTATTTTTTTTTTGGGCTTTTTCAAAGTATATAAAACATTGTGCTTCTGGATTTTTGTTAGTTTAATTAACAAAAATAAAAATAAATCGGAATAGCCAATAGATATTTGCAACACAATTGTTTATTAATATATAGGGGTAAAATTATCAACTTTTTCTAAGAAAGAGCTATTAATTAGATTTTTTCCCAAAATATCTTGTTACAAACAGTTAAAGTTTGTAATGTAATAAAGCAATACAATTCCCAACGCCTTGCTTTGTTTACTGTCTACTATACAGGATGTATTGAATTGGCTTAGAAAAATGTACATTTTTATATTTTTTAAATTAATATATATTATTTTTTTAACATAACATAAACGATTGAAGAAAAAACAAATGACAGTAGAAAAAATTGACATAAACATTAACAATAAATACAGAAAAAAATGTTTCTAGGAAAAACTTACTGGTTTTTGCTGTTTCTATATCATTTTTTTTAATAAATGACATATATGGTGTTTGTGTCACCAAAAAATATATTGATTGTCATTTAAAAAACAACTGCGACGTTGTTTTTTTTCGGTTATATGTTATATTTATGAATCATCCTGTATATAGCAGTTTAACAAAATAAAACAAAGTATGTATTAGAGAACAAATATAATTTTGTGTAATAAATCGGAAATTTTTATATTTTAGTTCATCATATAAATTTTTTTAATAAATTTTTATTTTTATCGTTTTACAGAAAAAAATGTTTAGTTTGTATAATGTCTAAGTTAGGCGTGTTTTATTTTATTTAAATGAATCTATAACTTAATAAAGATCATCAAGAAGGTTTATTATTGATCTTGTAAAATTTTTATAGAATATATTTAGATTCGTAAATGCGGTAGGTCATTTGTACCGATTGTTCCGGTGTACCAAATATTTCGGCTGATAGCTAAAAGCCCAATATTCTGAACTGTTAGAGCTTCGTAATACCAAATTAAATGTATTTTAAACAATTTTTACAAAATAAAGTATAGAAGAGGCGTTACTATATTTTTTAAAACTAAATTTAATCTTAATATTTCTCAACTAGGTCTAGCTTTTTTTCAGAAAGAAAATATATAAAAACTGATTCGGGTTTCTTCACAATTTTCTTTTAAATGATTGTGTAAGTACCGTATGATCTAAAAAACGGCGTCCAGTTGGCTTGGAAATGACGATGGATGACAGTCTCCATATATTAGAAAATGACAGCGATCTTCATTTCATTGTCATCGCTGACGCCGTTTTTTTTTCATCTTATTGAATTGTGTACAGGGCTTTCAGAGATATTTTGTATAATAAATGCAAGCTTAAGGTCTCTCAAAAAAATATACAGGGTGTTTGATTAGAAGAGTGAAAGTATAAATTTTTCTTTGAAAAAACGAAATATAGGTATCTTTGAAAACATTGTACAATTATTATTTATTTAAATTTGTAAATTTCTGAGTAAGTTATAATTTCTATTAACTAGGGCTAGTTGAGTAGACTAGTTTAGTATGATTCAGGGTGTCCATTATTGAAATATGACACTAGCTTCTATGAAAATAGTATTATTATATTTCTGATTAATTTAAACAATATATATTTTACTACAACATCAAATTGCTTTGTGGTGCCTTATTGTGGAGATTGAATCAATGAATTTATAACCTAATTTTCTTTATTATACGTTCTAATAAAAATAGGGCAGCTTTATAAAGTCATTTGACAATCCTCATTCATTATATGATACACGGGAAAGAATACCGTTAAGGAAAATTATTTCCATTCCCCAGAGAATAAAATTATGAAATATTTATATTGAAAATTAAATTTCTTTATCATTCCGTTTTTCTGAATGACGAATATTGCTTAGTCTTAGTAAAGTATTCTGTACTTCAGGACCTAAGTTTAGCATAGGAAAGTTTATTTATTTTGTATACTATATCGAGTCTAAGATTTAGCTAGAATATGGTATTGTGAGTTGTAAATATTGCCATTAAAATTATTTATGTGGTCAAAAAAAAATTATTGTTTTTATTTATAGTGAAGAATCTACTAGTGGTGGAGCATATCGAAAATAAATACGGCGTCAAGATGACTTGGGAATGAAGTATTGTGCAGCTTCGGCACACTTTTTGAAGCACACTGTATACCGGGTGCGTCTCATAAGTGGCTCACCCCCTATATCTTTTTTATTTTCTCAGATAAAAAGACGAGATTTGGTACAGTACGTTTGTCCGTTCTGTAGTTACGGGGTATCCGTGAGAGGGGAAACGATATTCTCTCGATGTTTTTCGTAAAAAAGACGACGCGTCCCATCAATAAAAATTCGACAAATTTGCAAGTAGCCAATAAAATGAGTGGGCGGAGCGGTTTGCGGTGACGTACTCGTCAAGTTGACGTATAAAATATATTGCTGTTTATTTAAATGTTTTTTGTCCGCATTCCTTTCATAGACACAGATCCAGCAGACGTACTGTATGTTAGTATATGACATAAATTAGGACTGATTGGCGTATTCAGTTGTTTTTTGTCACTTCCTGTTTCAATCTAGAGTGCCAGGGATGTGTTTGGTTTGGTTTGGTTTTTTTTTCACTAATTTTTAATCAAGAAGCCTTGGAAAAATAGATTTGATCGTCTGATGTTTTTTGTGTCTTGTCCTGGCCGGTTAAGAGATCTCCAAATCGTATTTTTAATCATATCTCAATTTTTCCAAATGTAATAAGGGTGGATGTAGTCATTTCCGGTGAAACAAGAAGTGACCAAAAACAATTGAATACATCAATCAATCCTGATTTATGACATTATAAAAATATTATATTAGAGTGTCTATTATAAAAATAGACACTCGCAGAGTCGGTAGGCCAGACAACGATATGGCCAAGGTCTGCGGTTCGGATTCCGCATAAACAAAGTAGACCCCGCCCAGATTAGCCTCAGCAGCAAAACGATGTTAACTTAAAATATTTTTTTATTCTTTATGTAAATAAATCATGCGGTTACACATATAATAAAAATATAAATATATACATAATCTAAATATTTTAAACATAAAAAGATATATCTTTATTTGGAAATATAACATGTACTGTATTTAGCTTTATTTTTTAACATATACAGTTTTCTAAGCTAAAATAAAAATGCCGAACCTCTGTGCTTTTCCACTCAATAATCTTAAAATGTAAATTGTAAAGTAGTACTAAAACAGCTAATAATTATTACAAAACAGGCGTATTGTAACAATTAGTGTCTCTTTTTAAGTTCGTTAAACCTCTTGGTCAGATCATCAAAGTCGATATCGTCGCTGGGTGTATTATTTGTTGGTACAGGCGGCAGGTCGGGCACATCGGGCAGATTGAAGTCGTTATTCATTTTCGTTCTTGGAAGAGGTTTAGGTTTATCATCTCTATTCTAAAATTAGAGAATAAAAATTCCTTAGAACTAAAATATTCTCTGAATTAACTAATGCTAGCTATGCTACTAAATACAAAAAAATAAAGTAGCTTAGAATATCAGACTCGGGAAGTGAAAATGAGACGAGTTCAATTACTAAGTGGATTATCAGTGGATTTAAAACATTAAAATTCATAAAAATACTATACCGGGTGCGTTTCAAAAGTGGCTCACCCCTATAACTTTTTTATTTTTTTTTAGATAAAAAAAAACGAGATTTGGTATGTTAGTGTATGACGTAAATTGGGATTGTATGACGTAAATTGGGATTGAATGAAATAGCACCCTCCGTATTTTTAGCCGACCATACCAATAGGATAAGTATGGTAGGCTATTAAGATCGGCAAAAAAGGTTTTTTTAATTTCACTCAAAATGAGTTATTTGGGCCATAAACGACCTAAATACAAAATATTTTCATGGTGTCTGTCTGTTCGTCTGTAACACGATAACTCAAAAACCGCTAAACCGATTTTAACCAAATTTGGCAGAAAAATACTGTAGCACCCGAGAATCTGGCCATTAGTTTTTGGTGGGGGTGGGGGGTTGGTAAGGGGGTATGGGAGGGGGTTAAAAGTTTTAAAACATCGTAACTCCAAAATTACAGTAATTAGCGAAACGCGGTTTTCAATTTAAGATTAGGAATAATATTTACCAATACACCAATAGCAAGAGTCTCAAAGCTTAGATATTTGGGCAGTTGGATTAGTGAAGACCTAAACCCAGACATTGAGATCAGAGCTCGAATTGAGATGGCTAGATCAAACTTCCTAAAATTGCGGAACCTACAGTGCGATAAACGTCTCAACATCCATATAAAAGACCACTTCGTCAAGTGCTACGTACTTTCCACACTTCTCTACGGGGCTGAGTCTTGGACACTCAAAGTAGGCGCAATGAATAAGTTGGAAGCATTTGAGATGTGGGTATATCGCAGAATGCTGCGAATACCGTGGACTGTCTCGAATGAACGAGTTCTAAACCAAATGAACAAGGACCGAGAACTCCTCGACATAATAAAAAAGAGGAAAGCAGCCTATTTGGGCCATATCATGAGACATAGCAAGTATGAATTCCTTCAGCTCATCATCGAGGGTAAAATTGAGGGAAAGCGATTGGACAGGCCTGGACTCACATACTTTGCTGGGAAAAGCGAAAAATAGAGAGGAATTTGCCATGGTTGTTGCCGATCTTCACTGAATGGAGAAGGCACTTTAAGAAGAAGAAGAATAATATTTGCAACAAAATTTGTAATAACATTAAAATTAAAGTCGCAGTTTTTGAGATAAAAAAAATTAGAAAAATTCCTTTAGTTTGAAACTAAAAGAACTGCCTATCAACTTTTTATTAACATATTTTAGTACGGGCGGCTATAAGTGCCTCCCGGCGCCAATTTTTTTACTTTATTTGATAGAAAATGACACTCTGAATAAAATGACATATCATATGTCAAATTTTGACATTTTCGCTTTAAAAAAATCGTATTTTAAATTTCAATCTAGAGTGCCATGGCTATGTTAAAAACACTAATTGTTAATCAAGGAGCCTTGGAAAAATACATTTGATCTCTAATTTGATCTCTAATGTCACTAATGACTCTAATGTTACTAGTGTCTTGTCCTGGCCGGTTAAAAAATGCTCAAATCGTATTTTTAATCGTACCTCAATTTTTTCAAATGGAATGAGGGTGGCTCATTAGCATATTTGGAAAAAACTTTTTTTTACGAATAATTTGGTACCACACACTTGGTATTTCGAGTCAAATTATGGTTATGAACCGCATGTTACAATTTCAAATCAACCATATGAGAAAATGTCAAAAGTTGACATATGATATGTCATTCTATTCAGAGTGCCAGTTTGTATCGAATAAAGTAAAGAAATACCGAGGGTGCCATTTAAAAATCAAAAGTTATAGTAATTTCCGGCGAAACAGGAAGTGACTAAAAACAATTGAATACGTCAATCAATCCCAATTTATGTCATACACTAAAATGCCAAACCTCGTTTTTTTTATCTGAAAAATTAAAAAAGTTATAGGGGTGAGCCACTTTTGAGACGCACACGGTATAACAGCAACTCTAAATTATGAGGAATTAAATAAATAAACAAGTAAACTTGTTCTCCCAGCTCCCTGTACGAACTATTCTAAGGTTTAAACTATTTATCGACCATACCTTTGAAGTATCATCATTAGAAGCCCCACTTCCATCATTATTGTTATCCTATAATAAATTAATGCAAAACACTGATTAACATTAATCATGCAATTCTTCTAGTAGCAGTTTTTAAAGTAAAACTTTTTTTAATATTGAAAGTAATTAAGAAGAAAAAAAGCAGGCAAGAAATAAAATATAAAAGTATCTAAATAATTTACCTTTTCTTTACCAGGAAAGACCATGCTATAGGTAGGTAAATTATTATTATCCTAAAACAACAAATAGAAAGAAACAAAAACTAAAAATATAGATGCAAAACAACAGAAATATTAAATAAGTATCATATAAAAAAAATCATACCATGTAATCTGTGTTGAATTCTTTATTTTCATCTGCAGCTGGTGGAATATTGTAAGAAAATGATGGTGGGGGTGCTGAAGGTCCACCTTTTTCTGGTAAGGTCTAAAAAATCAAACATAGAAATTTAAAATCTATATAAAACATATATATTTACCGGATATGAAAATGGTACGAGATCTGGATTAGGAGCTGGAAAGCTTGGAGGCTGTGGATAGCCAACGAATCCAGGTGGTTGTGGAATACCTCCACCACCACCGAGATTATTTCTGTCACTTAAATCAATCAGCATTGCATCATTTCCTACAAATCAAAAACTAAACCTTTGACTCAATAATATCAATTTTTACCTTTATCCATGGCCATAATCTGAGGATCCGGTTCGTAAGGAATGTTAAAACAACTTGCAATCTCTATAACATATTTCTCGATTAATAATTTTGGGGGACTCTGAATAGAAAGTTTGTGCTTCAGCTTGGGACTTATAGTTTCAACAGATTCTATACGACATGCCTCTGCATAAGCTGGACCATACTTTGCTGCTAGCAAATCAGCAATAACTTTAATTTCCTGTAGAGAGAGTAAACAGAGAATAATATGAAGTTATATTAATTAGCATTGATTAAAATACTTGGATATCAGACTGAAGTCTTGGAGCAACCCATATAATACTTGATACAGCTTCAGCTAGCCCTTCATCTAATTCTTTCATATTCTGAATTAAACCAAACCTAGCTACTAACAAATCACAGTACATTTCAACTACCTCCAGTGCCTCCACATAGTAATCTTCCCTGTTGAATAACGAAACTATTGTCATTCCTGTATCCCTAATATATCGTATTCTCACCTAATAATATATTCTACTCTAATTTTGGCCCTTTCATATTTGCCAGCGCTAATGTAATCAGCAATTTCTCGTCTAGATTTCTCTGTAAGTTCACTCTTTTTCTTTTCCAACAACTTCAAACGAGTAATTGCCAGTCTCAAGTTAGTTTTTAGTTTAGTATAATTGGGACCACTAGAAAACATTTTGAATCACAACAGTATTACTCTAACAAGTATAACAATAAATTAAACGTGTTAAATTAAAATTATAAACACAGAATAACTAATTTTAAATAATTAAAAAATGATTCAGAAACTAAATAAAGACGTATGACAAATTATTTATTGTCATTTACAAATGTCAAAAGTCAAAAATTTTTTAAATGTTAGGCAACCAAGTATACGTCTCGGGTCCAATAATATATTCATCTATGGACATCTTTCAAAAAGTGACAATCAGGTGAAAATATTATTTAGTTGTTTTCTGTGGTTGTTTTTAATTTAACGTCGGAATCAGAAAGGTATGTAAAATCTTGTAAAATTAAGGATACGTTTATTATCTTTCTACATTCTCTTTATTTATTAATAAAGGATGCTTACCTAAGATTACAAATGTTTATCTAAAATTAGATATGTTACATCTGTATGGGGTAACTGGATGAGTTGGTTTTTAAAAGTTGTTATAAATATTATAGAACAAATTCAAGTAAAGAAGGTTTGTGTTTGTAAATAATTGTTTTCTTAATAATTCAAAATCTACACTTTTTGCAGGTCATGAAGGTGAAAAATTTGGCGGTGTTTGATTTTGACCACACAGTCATTAATGATAATTCAGACACTGTTGTTCTTAATCTTATTGATAAATGCAAAATTACAGATGATTTGCGAAATTTGTACAGAAGCGACGGTTGGACGGCTTATATGCAGGGAATATTCGAAGTATTACATGAAAATAGAGTAGCACAAATACACATTGATAATATAATAAAAGAAATTCCAGAAGTTGATGGCATGAGCACTTTGATCAATGAACTGCATCATAACATGAATTATGATGTTATAATCATAAGCGATTCAAATACTCATTTCATTCAAACATGGCTAGAAGCAAATAATTTACACACAACCGTACTAAGAGTGTTTTCAAACCCAGCCAAGTATAATGACAAAGGTCAGTTAAGGATAAAGATGTATCATTTTCAAGAACAGTGTACTTTAAGTACAAAAAATCTTTGCAAAGGAATGATTTTAGAGGATTTTATGAGAAGTCAACATGCTAACAAAGTTAAATACGATAGGGTTGTGTATGTAGGAGATGGTCATAATGACCTCTGTCCTATTTTACGATTAACTGACAAAGGAGTGGCTTGTGTTAGAAATAAATATAAATGTTCAGTTCTGTTAAACAAACTTTTAAGTGGGGAGAATATCGAAGGATTTGATAAGAATAAGCACTGTCTTAAGGCTCCAGTCTGTATCTGGGATAATGGACATGAAATTTTAGATTTTATCAAGAAACTTAATTAAAGTTTTTTTGCAGAAAAATTAGACTGATCTTTGCATTTAATAGATGAATATTTTGTGATCTATTCTTTATAGAGAAATACAGCTACTTACTTATGTATATTTATTTTAACTTATATTTTATTACTGTACCTAGTACAATGTATGTACAATTTAATATTTTATTGCTATATGGAGTAATGAAATGAAACCAAAGAATTTGCATTGTTTTTTTTTATTATACCTTACACATTTCATTACATTGGCACCTAATAAGGGTTAGTAGCCACTTTATCATCATTTTGAGATATATTTACAATGAATTTGTTTGATACTTCTCATTTCTCATCATATATAATGTATACTGTTAGACAGAGAGCTGGCTACATAAAAAACCTTATCATCGTTACATGGATAATTTTTTGTGTGAAGTATCCTTTTGTGTAGCCATGGTGAAATAGTCATGTCTGCCAGCGAAAGAGGCATAGAATTTTGACAAAAAAATCATCGCACACATGCATGTCGATTGTTGGAATGTCATGTTTATTGTTAATTAATTTAAAAAGCCGTATGCAAAAGGGCAGACAAAAAATCGTTATTGAAATGTATATATGATTTATCTATGCTTAAATGGATGAGGCTGTGAGCGTTCCCTAAAAGCGCTAGAATAATATCGCGCTTTTCTGTCTGCAGTTGATTTAGCCATGATCTTTTTGTCTGCCTTTTTGCATACGGCTTTTAAAATAAATAAATATGACATTTCACCGATCGGCATGCAAATATGCCATAATTTTTTTCATTCTTCGAATTTCATTTTTTAATTTTAAAATTTCATGCCTCCTTCGCGTTGTCTGTTGGCATTTTAGCAACTAGAAAATGTCTGCCAACAATTTTCCACGTTTCTTAATAATAACTAAAAGCTATTTTCGCAATTATAACTCGTGTATCTTATAATATTTTTAGTGTCAAAATTTCACCCTGTCGATTGGTCACCCCGGCCTGCTTTAAGCCCCGGGATCGCGCTGGCAGACATGGCTATTTCATAATGGCTACACAAAAGGATACTTCACACAAAAAATTAACCATGTAACGGTGATAAGGTTTTTTATGTAGCAAGCTCTTAGACTATGTGGTTGGTGTACATCAAGAAACGTAGGCAATTATAGAAAATTGCAAATAAAATATTTATAAAGATTTGATTTTAATAATGTCAGTTAACATAAGAAGTCTATAAAATACTAGGTGATACTTGATGAATAATTAGTAGTAATAACCACTGATTTACATGGGAGTATTATGACATCACTGATGGGGTTACAGATAACAGTTATATCTTGAACAAATATATTTTTTTGTTGTTTCTTATTCTTTGGCAATATTTCTCCACATCATTTAGTTTTTGAACTAATAAAAAATCCTAATTATTTATAGGGTCCTTGCCAAAAAAACTGATTAGACACAGTTTGATCCTTGAACATCAACGCTAAATATGTATTGGTTTTAAGGTATTACAGTAATGGTATTCATTAGCAAAATTAAAATCAACATCATAAGCTAGAGGAGTATGGGTTTGCTTTTATCCAGCAGACATATTTTGAGCAACAATATTTAAAAATATATTTTTTTCTTAAAAAATAAAATAACGCATAACGGATTTTATTTTATTATTCATTTTTTTAGAGGAAAGGGGTATTAATGTGCTTTTTCGTGTAAATATTTAATATATACATTGTGAATAATACCTTTCGACGTATTGCAAGTGCGCGTAACATCTTAAAAATGTCGAATATCAAAAAGAGTAGTTGCAACTCAGGTTAAAATATTGTTTAAAGGTCTCATTGTTACATGGTATATACTATATTTTTGACGTGTTATTTCTAGACTCCGCAATCGTCAAAACATTTTAAAATTCCTAAGGATTTACTAGGCCTGAGAATACATATAATATATTTTGTCTCGGATATTTAGAAACCTTTAAACATGTTTTTACTCTGAAGTTCATTAATGTTTAAAATGCACCACTGATTATTAATCTAAAATATTGTTTAAAAAATAACGTTTCCTATATCTTGACTAGATAATTGTTTAATTAATTGTTCATAAAAATATATAAGTGCGAAATAATATACATCGCTTGTCAATGTCTATGAATTTTATATGGAAAATAAATATTATTAAGTATAAGTAAATTCTTCAACAAAACTTATAACTAATTGTTTTTTAATATCTAATAGTACGAGAGCTAGCAACGTCGGAAAAACAAGTATTTTAAGACGTCTGGCTCTTTGATATATCTTTTACTATGCTCTCTAGAACAGCATGCGGCCCCCGTCTGGCTGCCGGTAAACGTTGCGTTCTCTACTGCGCAACGAACTTGAAAGAACATTCTATATTTTTATTAGTCCTTTAAATTCTAGTATTGAATATTAATCGAACATGTCTCCACAGCGCAGTGGGTAGAGTTTTCGACCACGAACCGATGATTTAGAGTTCGAATCCGGGTCAGGGCAAAGACTTTTTTATTTTATTTTCGTTTATATACTCTGTTTTTTTTCTCAGGTAAGATTTCGACAGACGATGACAGAAGAAATGCAGATGACGTCCCATACCAATCTATTTATTTTACTAAAAAAGTTTCTAATAATTTTTAAGTTATCTATGGATGGGTTTAAATATAAATCCGTCAAGCGTCGTATCTTGTTGTTTTTAACCAGTTTTATTGGTTTATTTAAAAAATGACAGATCGTATTTCATTTTTATTGGTTTGACGGAACGATGAACGACAAACGGACACCGATGCGTATGAACTCGCCTTTAGATTTTTGTCATTTTGACGCTTGTCAAAGTCTTGTGTTAAATTATAGGTTATAATTTTCTGTCAACTTTTGTTAAATACCCTGCGTTTTGGAAGATGATGCATTTTGATTCGTATTATTACGTGTGTTTTGTGTCTTTTGAAGTCAAGTGGAGGAAAAATCGAGTGAAAATTAACTGTAGACCCAGAGCACAGTTTATGGTTAATACTCGTTGTCCAGGCAGAAAGTCTTTTACACCAATGAAGTTGCCATCGATAAAGTTTGTATACCATTTCGTCGTAGATAAGTGCTTCTCGTATATGGTAGAAGGATCAAACTAAACATATACTAAAAACTGGAGTAGCTGTAAAATATCGACATCACACGAGAGGTAAATAATGGATTTTAGTACTGCAGAAAAATAATGTCAAAAAGTCCTGGTTTAAAAAAATTAAGATTAAAGTTAATTAATCAACCTTTAAGATATAAAATTTGGTAGGTGTTATTATTATTAAAATAGTTTGTTTTATTTACCTATGTTGTTTTATTTATTCCTGTGGAATATTACAAATTTGTATTTGTACATAAATTATATTGATAAATATAATCATAAATGCGGGTAGTTTCATAAAGCTTGAAAGTAAATAATAGTTCTTTTTTATATTTTTTTGGTATGTAGTGTCTTGTTCTTGTTTGTTTTGTATTAACACATACCGTTTTTATTAAATAAAATAACTCGATTACATTTTTCAGTTTTTTATACAGTTTTTTTCACAATATTTTGAAGTAATCACTTGTCACTTGTCAATCAAATTTTAAATATATCCTGCTATGCGTTCCAGTTGTACCAACTTATTTCTTTGTAAAATAAAATAAACTACTTTGAAATTAAAATGACAGACACATCTATCACTGTCAAGGATGTTCTCGTTGGACAGACTATATTCTGATAGTAAAGTATTAAATATTTGTTTTTTTTTAATTACCAGAATTATTTAATACTTTACTATCAGAATATAAACGAAAATAAAATAAAAAAATCTTTGATCTGACCCGGATTCGAACTCTGAATCGGCGGTTCGTGGTCGGAAACTCTACGCACTGCGCTATGGAGACATGTTCGATTTATATTCAAAACTAGAATTTATAGGACTAAATTAATAAAAAATATAGAATTTTCTTTAGATGCGCAGTAATGAACGCAACGGGTATCGGCAGCCAGACTCGGGCCGCATGCTGTTCCAGAGAGCATAGTAAAAGAGCCAGACGTCTTAAAATATTTTCTCGAAAACTATACTTTCTCGTTGCTAGTTCTTAGACTATAACATTTAACTAGAACAAAAATAACAATCCAAAATATGATATGAGCTTTGCCTGGTAGTCCAATAAAGATTGCCCATAAGAATTATTTATTTTTTTAATAATTATAACAAACAAAAAGTAAAAATATTATGTAATACATCTCAGTCAACTGAGTGCTAGATGTATTATACACACAGAAAGAAATATTAGTATTCGCACTAAAAGACTAAATAATTTTTAAATCTAATCTGGGAGTAAACCAAAAATATTTCCATCACTTTTCAGTGTGTAGCATATACGGTGTCCTGAAATAACTGGCTTATATTTTGGTAGGTAATATTCTTGCGTTACAGGCAGAAAAAAAATATAATGAACAGTATCTTCAATGCCTTCTAAACATAATAAGATATTTTTAAATTATCTATGGATATTAGTATGGAAAAAAGATATGAAATCCTGTTCTAGACAACCTGATGTATTAATATTTGAAAATTTAATAAGATTTGACGTATTAACAAATTCAAGCGTTTTTGACATATTAACCATTCAGAATTATTTCTCTTTACACCTAATACTAGCTATTTTTATTTAAAAAAAATATTTTTAAACTCTTTTACCATATACTAATTAGACAGAGCTCTTGTGCAATTGTCATACCGTGCTGGCAAGCGAAACCTTGGGTCGGCGTTTACATGTATAGGAGTGAATTGCTATGGCAATCTAGAAAGTCGGAGAGAGCAAAAATACGAAGTATTTATTACATAACCTAGATTCCATGCTGATGGGAAATACTTGCCTTCTGTCTTTACTCAGTACATCTTATTTTGCTAAGCGTGTTGGCCGTACTCTTCGTAAATACGAAAATCAGCACCCAAGACCAGAAATGCCAGCCCTAGTATAGTTATATATATATATATAGATAGTTTATATAGTACTGTTAATGTTTTTAAACTAAGACTTTGTTGAGATTTGTGATTTTTGAAGTATATTCATTAGTATTCTGTAAGAATAAATAATTTTTCATAATTTCTAGGGCTATGATTCACTATATGTTTTAGCCGGTTAATTTTGATATCTAACAATTCTTTGAGATTTGCAAAGCTGTTTTCCATTTTTATAATTTGTACCTTACTTCTCTTTTTTGCAAGTTTGATTGTGGTATATTTTATAATATTTAACATGCACTTAGTCTCGTCGATTATCATTGAATGAACCTAAGAAATAAAAATCAATCAAATATTTTTTTTTAATATTTATACACTAGACGAAAGATATATTTTTGTGACGGCGTTTTTTGTGACTATTTTGTATTCGTTTTGTTTATTTTGTAAAGCGTATCATAAGAAAAAGCATTACGATATAATGACGAAATGGCGTGTCTGTATAGTATATGGTCTAGATTTAAAAACAAATGGCGTCTTATAATTATCGTGGTCTTTTTTATTCAGTAAATTATATAAAATCAGTCGGCCTTTAAAAACTAAACCAAGCAAACCGATAATGCGACATCTCTATTGAACTACTCGAACTACCAAGATCAACATACAACTTGCAGCCTCTCAGCGATGATAGGTCACAGAATGTCAGTTTCGTATACTTTCTTCTGACCTTCCTGGTTCAAAACATCTTTGTTTTCGGTAGCGTTGTTGCTCTTATCGTCGAAACTAGGATTTTCCCTGTCCATGTCGGACGTAGCGTTGGTTAGGGTAACTTTATTAACAAGCGAGGCGTTGGTGTTGGGTATGTTTGTCAGGGACCCGGTGATCTGAGAGGTGGCCAGTTGCAAGCCCATTTTCTGTAGAAGGTTTGATTCGCTTCCTGTTTTCTTTAGTAGTTGATCGGGAGCTGGAGGTATGACAGTTAGGGTGTTGTTACCTCGCTGGAGTTGTTGCAGTCTGGCGTACTGTTCCTGAAGAGCTTTCTGTTTCTTCAACAGTTCCTGATGCCTCTGTTCCAGTTCTTCTTTCCTCGTTTTCTTCGTGCCGTCTTGCGAGTTGACGCTCTCGCAACTGCTCGAGTTGTTTGCCATATTACATCGCTGTCGCTGTTAGGTATTTGAAGATTCGAGCCTATATTCCTAGGAAGGGTTTGAGATTTGTTCGAGTCCTTGATACTAGATCGGTTGGGCACGTTGCGCCTGAGCGTTTGTAGGCCTAGGTTCTGAGTGGCTTGCTCGAACTGGGACATGGGCTTCTCCATATTCTGCACGTTCTGGATATGTTGGAGTCCCGCAGACGCGACGGATCTAGGAGGTAAACTCGGAGACGTAGGAGAGGCTAGGGGAGATTTCGAGCTGGTCCTTGGAGGAGGAGGGGGAGGAATCCTCTTCCCCGAAACCACGTGCTGGAGGAGTTCCGTGTTGCGTTCAGGTATCGGGGGTTTGCTGGCGGTTTTGGTCGGTTGGAGCGGTTGAATTGGGGGACTGTTATCCGTGTCCGAGCCGCTAGGATACGAATGCAGTCGCCGGAGACTCCCTGTGGTGGTGCTGACGGTGAGGTTGTTGCTGGGCAGGAACGAGGCCGAGTCCATGCTGCCCTTGCGGCCGATCTCGGCCATCTGTGGCGGCCTGGAGGTAGGGGCGACGCCCTTGGCGGGGATGGCGGGAGGCTCGGAGCTTTCGGAGGAGGAGCGGGTGCCGGGGTGCGGCTTGGAGAAGGTCTGCAGCTCGTCTAGCAGAGCGTCGAGCGCGTTCTCCGGACGCTGGGAACTGTCGGAGGAGGCACTGGAGCATTCTCCCCCGAGGACGAGCGACCCCATGCGTGGAGCGGTAGGGGGCTACAAGGAATTTATATCATTCATTAATTTTATCGAAGAAAATTGCTACTGATAAATCCAGAATATATTTTTATCTAATCTACTACATATAGAAAATGACAAATTATTTTATATAAATGTTGTAAATTGATCCTTGAAATTTTAGTTGAATGTTGTATTTATATGTAGAAAAATAAAAATAAATAAATAAAACATAATTTTGTTTTGTACAATAACTACCAGTTTTAATGCAAAAATTTCTTTTATACTAACTCCCTTGCTAACTTTCTTCACTCTACTAACTTTTTACATCTTATATTAGCTATTTTTATTAAAAATGTATTTTTAATATCTTTAATCATATACTAATTAGACTCTTGTTGCTATCATTTTTTTGCACTTCCCCTAGCTTGTCTAATTTTTCAGATTATGAAAGTAGGGATAGTTTATATCGTTGCCTTCCACACAAGGTGCCGTAACTAATATTTTGAAAATTTTAGAGTAACGCGAAAAAAAAACTTTTAGTGTGATCTAATAGTCTCCACAGAGTCGTAACTGTAACAGCAAAGGCACTTATACTGTAGCAGACAAAATAAATGGCGTAAAACTTAATTTTTATATCACATTAAAAATCGTTTTTTCGCTCTACTGTAAACTTTTCACGATATAATACTGCAAAAATATTTAAACTAAAAATTTGTCCACATTTGTGATTTTGCAAGTATATTCATTAGTAGCCTCCAATAACAATCCAATTACGTTATATTCAAGTGGATATACAAAATAACTGATATAGTAGATTAAATAAAAATATCTTCTATTATTATAATTAATGAGATAAATCATCAACCTGATCCATTCACATTTTGTGGTCAAATCATTAATTCTTTCTTTGTATTATAATTATTGTATGTGTGACAATAAGGAATAAGTTTAATTTAGTTTTAAAAATTCATATATAGTTAACTTGTTCTTTAAGTTCACACAAAAAATTTCTAATAACGGAGTTTAACTTTATTAATTTTTATATTTATTAAAAGACGTATAGGAGATTTTATTTATTAGAAAATATTAAATATAATATCAGAGTTGCTGATTTAAACAATTGAAATTATTACAACTAAATTTAAAATTAAAACGAATATCATGAATATACTGTTTCGAACAGGCAACAACGATGACGTCTACCTACAGAAACACAACGTTTCTGAATGTGTTCCACAACAAAATAAATTTTCAGGACAAAAATGTATTATTTTAGGTACCTATTTACTTTTGCCTTTTGAGGAACACATTTCAACTTAATGGGAAGGGCCTACAACGATAAGGGTAAAATAATATCAGAGCAGAGTTAATAAAGCTGATAAAGTTTCAAAACAACTAGAAAAATCATTATTTTATTTATAAAACACTTATAAAACAACGTTTATATTTTTATGTTCTTTTGAAACTTCAAAAATAAAATAAAACAAAAAAGGGTTACCTTTTAAAAAAATATTAATTGCAAACAAACATCACTACTCATGAGGTAATTCCAATAACTCCAATAACTAAAACAATTTCAACAATAAATAAAAAAACTTTTTTTTTCATAATTTCTATGGCTATGATTAACAATTATTAGTGTATGCAGGTTAGTATGACGTCTAACAAAAAGCATTCGTTGAGGTTTTGCAAAGTTGTTCTCTGTTTTTATTTCATCATAATTTATCAGGAAAATATTGTAACTTCTATAGGCTGGCTCAAAAAAGTGTGAGTGAATCGGGGTATTTTTTTAAATGGAACACTCTGTATATTATTGGATTTTTGGCTTTCTTTCAGATCACTTTACATAATCCTAAGATATGATTAAATATATTTCGTTAATTTCAGAGAGATTAATAAATAAATAAAAAATATATTATTTCTCGGCCTTTCTTAAAGAAATGATTAAAAATAAAAGAACTGTCCCGAATACAAGAACTGTATTAGGTATTTAGTTTAGGTGGTCTATACTTTGCTATAAATATCGTAATATTATATCATACAGGGTGTTCTTCTAAATTCTACGCCAAATTTTCTAAAATATAAAATAATTTTTTTTTAAACGGTGTTTATTACAGTGTATATTATTTTTTTTATTATATGGAGAGTTAGAAAATGAACATTTTTGTATTCAAAACGTTAAAATTTTTAATGGTTTCGCAGATACATGCAGTATTATTTCATATGGCTCTTTCAAGGGTAAAATACGAGAGAAAAATCATTGGGTGGCTTGGATAAAAATTTACTGTGGAAAATGCCATATGAAATATAAAACCGCGAATATCTGCGAAACTGTTAAAAATGTTGAAATACTCCTAAATACAAAAATGTTTATTTTTAATTCTTGATCTATTTATAAAAAATATACGTGGTGTTCCATTAAAAAAAAACGAAGAAAAATTATTTTATATTTTAGAAAGTTTGGCGTAGAATTTTGAACATTCTGTATGATTTACGATTACCATATTTATAGCAAAGTAAGAACAGACCATCTAAAGTAAATACCTAATATAGTTTTGATTTTAGGACAGTTCTTGTATTTTTAATAATTTTTTTAAGAAATGCCGAAAAAATATATTTTTTTATTAATTTAATAATATCTTTGAAACTGGCGAAATATATTTACTCATATCTTAGGATTATGTAAAGTGATCTGATAGGAAGCCGAAAATGCAATAATATACAGGGTATGCCGTTTAAAAAGATCATGCCGATCCACTCACACTTTTTTGAGCCACCCTATAGAAGTTAAAATATTTTCCTGAAATATATCCTAGTAGGTACTTCAGGTTTGCACTTAAATAAAATTGACAAGTTTTTTATTCTAGGCCATTTTATTCACAGCCCTTATTCAATGTTTATTATTTATACAACTTTTTTCGTTTAAAAAAAGAGTTTTTTTTTTTAATCAGAGAACATCTTATAACGTGCATCGTCATGATGGAAAATGACAAATATCTTAAAATCTTACCATTTAGATCGTGCCACGTAGGCAAAAATTATACACACACACAGTTAAAGGTTACTAAGAAAAAAATTGCATGCTGCGTGCAACACAAAAACAATTAAAAATCAAAAAAAACTGGTCTGTTCGTGCAATATTTAAACAAAAACAAAAATATCTTTCCCTTATAGTAAGGTCGAAATCTGCGAACCTTGTTACACCTACTCCAAGTAATCATAAAAAACCTTTACTTTGTTTTACAAAAGTCAATAAGCAAAATAAGCTACACTAAAAGCTACTGCATCGAATAATAATAATAATATAATTTCATATTCTACTCATCTGAAATTTTACTTCTACGAATCCAAACGAAAATAAAAATAAACAAAACAAGTAATTTAGATATAAAAAAAATAAACAAAAAACAATAATAAATACAGTAACTTGGGAATATCAGCTATATATAAAAATGTATAATATACTTTTGCTGGTTACTACTACAGTAATTTTTCAAACAAGGTATTAATACAGAAGCAGTATAATAGGTACCTAATAAACGTGTGGAACCAATAATACAATAATGCATTAAATCCCAATTTAATAGTAGTGCACTATCGATTCTGAGATGAGATGACTATCGAAGTGCTTCAAAAGAAAAAAGAAAAAGAAGATATGATATCGTAGCGATTTTTGTTGTTTTTTTTCTTTTTGTAAATGAGGAACAACATTTCCAATGACACCTTACTATAAGGAAAAGGCTAGTAAACATTTAAGATTTAGAAGCATTCTAGTCAAAAATTTATTGGTCTTTTTTTCGTTTAAAGAATATGTGATATTTGGAAATGAAGAGCAAAAGAAAAGCTTAATAATTAATTCTATGCTATATTTATTTTTCTGTAAGTTCTGTATAATGAGGTACTTGTATATTTAAAATGTTCCTTGAACAAGATATTATTGCACAGTTTTGTTGCAGAGAATTATAGTCATCAGATAAATCATCAGAGACTTAAATAAAAAATTTGATTTAATAAACTGCCGTCAAATTAAATACCACAGCAATTTTTTTACTCATTTTCAACGAGTTGTAACTTTGAAAAAAATGGACCAATTTTGTTGATTTTTTTAGCATATTAAAGATCGTTTTTCGTAGATTGATCTGATTTTTCTAAATTTTGTATGAGATTTAGTTTTCTATGATATACAGGGTGTGAAAAAAAGGAATGTAATTTTTGTGTTGCTGTCATTTTGCCAAAAAACAAAATTTAACCAGAATTATAAGTTCTGGGTATAGCTAAGACTAATATATCGGGACGTATTTGGAATGTTTACGATAACTGATCTGGAATAAAGGATAATCAATTTTTACTCTAACTTGTATTTTTTCTACCTTTCTTAAGAGATATGCTAACAAAACTGCTTTTACAATGTGAAATTAAAAAAGAAACTACTAAGTTGCAGCTAAACTACAGATTTTTAGACACAAAAAGAGTTTTTACAAAAATATCAAATACGTGTCGAGCTTTTATATTAACCTTATGGGCTGTTAAGTTCAGAATATTAAAAAAAATAAGTTTACTTTTTCGCTGGTCGTATTTTTAAGAGATCCTGTATTAAACTGCGTTAGTTAAATCATTTTTTTTTAATTTCACATTGTAAAAGTAACGAATATCCTACAATTTTAAAGTTAATTTCAGTTTTGTTAGCATATCTCTTAAGAAAGGTAGAAAAAATACAAGTTAGAGTAAAAATTCCAAATACGTCCCGAGATAGTAGTCTTAGCTATACCCAGAATTTATAATTCTAGTTAAATTTTGTTTTTTAGCAAAATGGCAGCAACACAAAAATTACATTCCTTTTTTTCACAACCTGTATATCATAGAAAACTAAATCTCATACAAAATTAAAAAAAATCAGATCAATCTACGAAAAACGATCTTTAATATGCTAAAAACATCAACAAAATTGGTCCATTTTTATCAAAATTACAACTCGTTGAAAATGAGTAAAAAAATCGCTGTGGTATTTAATTTGACGGGCAGTTTATATTCATAAACACCTTTAAAATTGTCCTGTATTTTAAAGTTCAATCTACAGGGTAGTCCGAACTTTATTTGGGAAACTTTGGCAGCATATTCTGCAGATAAAAATAAGTAAAAAAGTTCGTTTAAATGATGTCCTAAAATGCTTACTTTCAGAGATACAGGGTGTAGAAGTTTCATTTTTATTCCGATTTTTTCCAAATAATTTCTGGAGTAACATCAATATTTGGATGAAAATTGGTGTCTAGGAATTTTTTGACATGAGAAATATCATTTTGATGTCAATATGACTCCTACTTGTAGACGGCGCCACCTACGTATTTTTTTAACTAGTTTGAAGAGTACTAACTTTTCGTCCGTACCTGAATAAAAGTACAGAATAAAAATATACATTTACGATGTTTTTTACCTAAAAAAGGTTTCTTAGTAAAAATCGCTACGCTAATGGTTCTCGAGATATTTGGAATCGAAACTATCAATACCTATCATCATTGACATAAATTAAACATGTCGACTATATAGTGATTAGACTGAAATCATAAATTAAAAATGTTTTTGTGCCAAAAGTTGAACAACAACGTTGTTGTATCATCTTTTTTTCCCAGAAAAATTTATAAATAATTTAAAAAAAATAAGAATTTCCCAAGTTTATTATTTCAGTCAAATAACTATCTACTCTCAACGTGATTATTTTTTTTGTCAACAATGTATTGACTATTTCCATTCTAAATATCTTGAGATCGGTTGCTCGTAGCGATTTATACCAAGATACATTTTTATTGAAAAGTCACGGAAATTTATATTTTTCACTCAGTGTTTTATACAGGCCACTCTTCAAAACAGTTAAAACACATGTAAGTGGCGCCCCCTACAAATAGGAGTCATATTGACATCAAAATCGCCCCAAATGTCTCATGTCAAAAAACTCCCATACACTAACTTTCATCGAAATATTGACGTTACTTCATAAATTATTTGGAAAAAATCGAAATTTGTGCACCCTGTATGTCCGAAACTAAGTCATTTTAGGACATTCATTTATACGAACTTTCTTACTTATTTTTATCCGCAGAATATGCTGCCGAAGTTTTCGCAATACAGTTCAGACCACCCTGTATATTGTTCTAGTGGACTGATTTAGATATGATAATAGCAATTTGTAGCAAAATATTTTGACTTTTATTCAAATACAAATAGTCAAAAACAAAGTCTCCAATGTGTCTATTATACGAGGGTAAACAAAATGTTATTTTAGCGGAAGATTGGAACACCTTGTGGAATGGTTTAACAAAATAAGTAATTTGAAAACCACTTTATCATGACGGTGCATTTTTCTCCATAGTTTGTTTTTCCGTTCATGTAATTTTTTTGTTGTTAGCAAAGACTTACAGCTATTTTAGCACTAAAAGAATATCTTTGGTTTTGGTCATCATCAACAATTTATGAAATATAGTTTATTGTTTTTTCTAATGTCACACATGCAAAAATCATAATATTATTTTTTGTTGGCATTTACTTTAGGAGAAATTGCTATTAATTAATGATAAATCCAAATTGATCACTATCATGTTCAATTAAAGCAACAATAGCTGGTACAACTTCTGGACTTAAAGTCATCTCTTTATCTCTGCTAGAGTAATTGCCAAGAAAGAATAATAATGCAACTTTTTAGTGACTTTGACATTACAAAAACAATAATCACTACTTCATACGTGTGGTGATGAGTACCCAAATAGAGGCATGCTTTTAATGCTAAAATTGTTATTAAT